TGAAAGTCAGTGTTCGTTGGACCCATCCACCACACCTCCAACCAACCCTACTTGGACTTTTGTTCTTGTCCTGCCTAAGCACCAGATTTCGACGACTTTGGCGTGAGACCGGGTTGGAATATAATATAACACAATAAGTATGTTTTCTTTAGTGAATAATCACCTGAAAATAAGAATCGTTGTGTTCTTATTACTTCAGGATGAGCCGTTTATATCTACGTAGGAAGCAGGTCCTAGTCCAAGGAGATCAGCATCTTGCACTGCTGTGTTTCTACAGTAGCCCAGAATGGACAAACCATACCACTGGCTCTAGATGAGGCCATTCGTTTGCTCACATTTTTGCACTGGTCACCATAGTCAGTCTGCAATCCTCACAGCTAGATGCCACTAAATCCCCCTGAATCTTACACACTGTTCCTTTAACTTTTGATGGAAACAAGCTAAATTGCTTTGAAAGTTAGTGTGAGCCCTGCACATTTGGTGATTCTCTGCCAGTTTCTTTAACGCAGGTTGCAGAGAAGTTAGTTTCAGCCATTGTGGCCTACTTGTAACAGGGGTGCACCTTTCATATCAACATATGAAACGGGGCTTTGGAGGTTTCAGCACGATTTCTGCTCATGTTCAAAACTTTCTGCACATTGTCATTATCTTTGAAAAAGATAGCAATGATTGGTTGCTACGTATAATCAAATGTAGATCAAAAGCTTGTGTTGGGTGCTTGTAGAGAACGGCAAACAACAGAATCGACAGGAAGGCAATCCAGGCCCTCCAAAAAATATAGAAAATGAGAAAATTAATATTAAAAGGCCTTTATCATAGTGAGTAAATCATTGTAGTTTTGACCACTGCAAGTCTTCGTCAGGGCTTGAAAAAACACACAACACATATGGCCCCACCTGTATAGTCGCAGGAAACAACAGGAGGCCATCACATGACCCGGATAATGACATAACCGCTGAATTAAGTGCCTCTGTTTTTTTTATTTTCATTATTTTCTATCTGTCGTGTCAATATCAAAGCAACATGTTGGCTCTTTTTAAGATTCAGCCACTACAATAAAGGCTTCTTAATATTCCCTTTCTAGTTTCCTATATTTTTGCAGTGTCCGGATTACCTGCTCGTGTAATGAAGTCATAATATTTTGAGGGACAAAGCCAAAGTCGAAACAATTCAAAGCTGTGTGCAAGTGATTCAGAAAAAAGCCTTGTCTTTAGCGACGGTGGTGATGATGGTGGCAAAAGCAAGTCTAATGATAAAATTGGGGAAAAGTGCATTAGGATGTAGGACTAAACTGGCATTAGAAACACACACAAACACCCCTCAAGAACACCTCAAATACATCTTAATTACTTAAGGAATGCAGACTTGATTACAGACAGCTCCTGTAATCCCTCACTCACGTTACTAATAAACCATCCATGATGCCTTTAAGCTACGCAGCACCGTCATAATCAGATTACTGTGAGGACATGCTGAATGTGCTCGTGGTCCCAACCTGAGAATAGCTTATTAATTACTCATCGGACTGTCTGCCGGTGACAGGAGTTCACAAAACTGCAGCATCATTGGCCATTTTGTTAGGTACACCTGGACAATGTCACACAACTCAGTACAAAAGATAACGCCCAGTTTGGTTGACACTGTCAGAGACGTGATCCAATGATATGTCTCTTATAAGGATAATTACAGGAGGTGTTGCATTGGACTACATTTCACTGAGAGGCGTTCCTAATATTCTGACCGCCTCCAAATGTAGTCCAGTAACACCACACAAGCTATGACAGTGTCAAAAAAAACCTTATAGACATCATAAAAGTAGATTTTATGGCACAACAGTTGCATTAGACTGGACAGGTGTACCTAATAAAGTGGCCACTGAGTCTATGTCTCTTCTTGGGCACATTTAGGTGTCCCATTTTCCAACACTTTAACCTGTGAGTGATTTTTTAATCCTGTAAACTGATATCTAAACTTGAAATAAATAACACAAATGTACTTTTTTGTACATTATTATAGGAAAATTGCAAAATACAGCACGAGGAAATTGTTATTTATATGAATATTGCATGTAATAAATGGACAATATGTCCATCTAAATGATCTGAGTCATTGCTGATACTCACCTCTTGTGTTGCTGTGTTATCTCTGTCGGTAGTGTCATGGTGGTCCGGGCTGCTGTTACATGATGAGTTGTGCTTAATGAATCCCTCTTATACACCTCTGACTCTGAGAAGATTATAAGGCTGCTAACCAATAAACTGCAGGCCCTTCATCACTTGTACACACGCACACAGAGGTTCATACGTAAATATGGAGCAGCACATGCATTAGGGGATTGGCTGACAGGCAGTTTGGGGGATGTCCCTGCTGCTGAGACTGACCTGAGCAGACACATGACACTGGGAAACAAATACAGATGTGTTATTAGAATAACAATGAAGATGTGTGCCGGGACGTCCATCAGGACTCATCTGCGTGTTTCCTGTGGGATTTCCTCACATTACGTCCTCAGTATCTCCCCACCACCTGCAATATTATGCAACGTCTGCAGCCCAGAGAACACACGAGCACGGACAGGGGCAGCATTCTCCTTTCATCAGCAGTCTCTCAGATTGAGTTGCATTATGTCTCAGTGGTAATCCCCACACCTCTCTCACACACACACAAACACCTGGTCCATTCATCTGATGGTTCGCCAGTGCTTCTCTCTGTAATCTATTCCATTGATACACATGCACACAAGACACGTGTATGAGACACACGCTCTCACTTCCTGGGGTTTATTGACTCTCAGTGTCTCTGTCTCAGACTCAAACACTCTCCCACAGAAACCTCTCTCAGCATCACTGGCTGCAATTTATACCAATATGCCTGACTTGCAATGGTGAGTTTTTGATGAGGCTGTTTGTTTATGAACGTCACACTGTGCCACATGTCTGATTGTACATGCTGAATGAGCTATATGATGCACACAACTCATTGTAGGTCTGCAAGTAATGATTGCCTTACTTGGTGATCTATTTATTTCAGTTTTTTAATAACTGTAAAATAATTTTATGCCTGAATCATAGTAAAAAATTATAAAAATGTCACAATTCCTGATACATGAAGGTGACGTCTGAAAAGTACAAGTACTGTACCTAAGTACAATTTTGAGCTCTCATACTTGACTGTAGCATTTCCATTTAATACAACTTTAAACTTTTTCTCTCCACTATATTCATCAGAAAACTATATTATAATGTTGCATATGTATGAATGTACCATTAACAATATGTCGAGAATATAATATACATTATAAAGTCATTGCTCCCTATGTACTATGGTACAAGAGAACATTTATTAAATGTATGGAGGCTTTTTATTAGTTGTTTTTTCCTGCCTTCAATATTTTAATACCAAATGTGTAAATTAAAAAAAAAGAAAAAATAGAGATGCAAGTTTAAAAATGTTCTTGTATCATTAATGTAAAGAAAAATACACAAAAGTCACAAAAAAAAATATATTTTTATTGTCTTTTTTCCCCCTCCTTTTTATGTTTTAGTTCTTCAGGTTTAGGTTTACAAAGTGTCAGCTGATGTGCACTATAAATACAATTTGGGAATATTAAGCAGCTACACTGTAGTTGATGCAGATTGTCTGCCAATCAATTCAATTTTCATTTCAAATATCTTTATTGGCATGAACAAAGATATGTTAAATAATAATAAATAGTAAAAAAAATAGATAAGAAATAAAAAAATAAAAACTAAATAATAAATGAAACAAAATAAATAAATACAAGTGAAAATAAAAAGTAATCCTATTTTACACGTCACATACGGTGAATACATTATATATACATATTCAATACACAGGTGCCACAAACAGGCTCTATATTATACCCCTGCAGTCCATTTTTGATCACTGTACATTACAATATATGTAGTACACTGCTCTTTTTTTTATCTTTTATTTTATTTCTTTTTTAAGATTAATACATATTAGTTGTTAGGCAGATACACACTTAGTTGCCAAAGGAGGTGGTGTGCCTTCACCCAGGAGAACTGCCAGTTTCTGCTGCGCGGTTAACGTCAGGACGTTTGCAATTTCCTTGGTTATTTCTCCAAAATGAAAATCTCTGACTGAGGAGAGCTTTTCACAGCGGAGGAGGAAATGCTGTCGGATGTAATGATTGTTCATCAGTTTCATTGTCTGAGACAGTTTCAGTATCAAAACTATTTTAAAACTACAGCTTATTATCATTTAATAATAATAATAATAATAATAAAAAAGATTCACTGCACTATTTTATTATCATTAGTCCTATTTTCAAACCCAGAATCAAATCATTGATCAGATTATGACAGTAGCCTGAACTATCACCTTTGTTTGACTTCTTTTAATTTGGAATTGGCTTGTCCCTTTCTACTGTCTCTGAATAAGATAAACAGTAGGCTAAATAGTATAAATGTTAACATAAGGGATTTAAAGGCAGCCTAGTGAATCCTTTTGTCCACATCTGGCTTTATAGTAGTTTACTGGAATGATGTTTTTGTGGTGCATGCTGCCTGCAGCCATATTTTAAGTTATGACTGCTTTAGATAGTAAAAAAAAAAGTTTCTGGATGGTCAAATAAACAGCATCTGTCAACATCATTACTGGAGTTAAACCTTCTGGGGCCCTGTAGTATGTATGAGGGGAACAAACTGAGACAACGCCGCCATCTAGTGGTGACCGATGGAAGCACCTGCGTTTATTTCCCAGCAAAGATCGTATGTGTATCACTCTGGGTGATATTAATCAATCAGGCGGAATTTCTGCCTTATTTGATATACAATTTAGTGAAGGAAAAACAGATGTTGTCGTCAACAGACTGTTTGACCTACCTTTATTCAACAAAAACAGGGTAATTTCTTTTTTTAAACGTTTTCCTCTATGCCTCTTTGATGACAAAGAAACCTCTACGGTATCCGAAAAAAGTCACAGAGTGAGAGCTCTTTACTTCCTGTTTCCCTGTCGCTTGAGGGGAAGGTTCGTAGGTTAAAGGCTAAACACGCTGCTCCACATGTGTTATGTTTTGTTGCTATAATTTGTAATGTATTAAAATAAAGTGCAGTAACATGGGGAAGAATAAGAAGAACAAAACTAACGAGTCGGGAAAACAAGCTGGCAAGGCCGGACAACATTCAAGGTAACGTGCGGAAGCTAATGTGCATCAGAAAACTGCTAGCTAGTTAGCTAGCTAGAGCAGCTAGCTGTTGTTAGCATTTTATGTCAGTTTGGAGTTAGCAAAAGGAGATTAAGCATTGTGTTTAACCTAATTGAGGACGCCTACCTGCCTTATAACATTTATCTCTCTGTCTCCTTCATGCTGTCTGGACTACAATGTGAAAAAACAGTGACAAGAAGCTCAAACGAGATGGTAAACCCAAGAAAGCCAAAAGAGACCACCTCGAACACATCCCCTTTAAACTCCGGGAGATAATGAAGAGCAAAGACAGAATGAAAACGGGGTCTTTAAAGGCCAAAAAGCTCAAAGAAGGTGAGTAGGAAAGCTTTAAATTATGTTTCTGTATCACACTTCAAGCAGTCATAGGTTTGAATTGGTTTCTGTCTTTTCAGCCATCTCCCCTGCAGGTAAACCAGGGGACTCCCAGGGTGGAGACATACCTGTGCCACATTTCAAGAGGAGAAAGGAGGAGAGTGTGAAAGCATACCTGCGCCGCATGGAAAATGAAACACAACACGTCCTCTTCCTCACCAAGAACCAGGTAGACAGAAACCCTGAGCGGGATGAAGACAAGGGCAAGTCTGAGAAGAAGAAGGAGTGAGTACACTTTGGCTTGTAATCAGCAAAACAAATATTTTCTTTCTGCTGATGTGGGATGTCAGTGGAGGCTGGGGCCACCTGAGTCAGTCAAACCCCATCCTCTATTTAGGGTACTAAGTGTTAGCCATTTATGGGTATGTAATATCTTTTTTTGTTGGTTTGTGGCTAATTTATCGTGTCTGACACAAGTGCAACAAAAATACCCACATGGGACGATGGCGACATAAAAATTAAATCTGTTGTTATCTTCGCTTACAGCTTAAATTCAACTAAATGTTGCATTGTGTTTCTTGGGAACTTGCAGGTGAATCAAAAAACAATACTAAAGTTTGTCAGAAAGAACTTTTAAAAGTGCTGAAGTCAAACGTCTAGTGTGTAAGACTTAAGGGGATTTAGTGGCATCTAGCAGTGGGGATAGCAGATCCAGCTGAAACTTCTCCTGGTTAGTATTCTTTCAGTGTTTGTTGTTCAGGAGGTTTTTAGCTGGAGCCAAATTATCTGCAGAGGTCTCTTCTTCTCCAAAACAAACAGACCTGTTATTAAAACCGGTAAAAACACTGGATAAAGCAGTTTTACTTTAAAAAATCTGTGTATTTTTGACACTGCTTGTTACGGATGGGCTGCCAACTACAGTGGCAAATGTGAAAATGCAAATGGCCCCATCTACAGCCAGTGTTTAGTTTCCGTTCTGGACTATTGTAGAAACATGGAGGTGCAACATGGCGATTTCTATGGACAAGGACCCACGTCCTAGGTAGAAATAGCTTATTCTAAGGTAACAAAACACGACAGTTTTTATCTTCAGGTGATAATACACTTGAGAAAATAATGCTTATGAAATTATCTTCCATTTCTGCCAATATATCCCCCTAAATCCTTCACACTGGACCTTTAAATGACAGTAGAAAGTAGATCACAGTAAAACAAAAATGTAAAAGTGACTATAATTCCTGGTTGATATCTGTCTGATTCATTTGATCTTTGCTGTCTGTGCTACAGGTCTGATAAAGTCCGATTACTGAGGCTACAGCAGAAGAAGCTGGACAGACAAGAGGCCAAGATGGAAAAGGAGATGTTCGTAGGTAAGGATGTGAGGGGGCAGTTCTTCATCCCAAGCACGCACTGTCCAGATATGATCAGATAAGTTCATCAGGAGGCACGCTCCATCTTAAAAAGAACCTACTGGGTGTATATTCCTCACATTGATCAGAAAAGTTTTTATCCAGATTAGCCATAACATCCATCAATGCTGCTTTAATCACTTTAAAATTATTTTGCATGTATATATGAGAGGCAGATGTAATTGTCAGATCAGAATAAGATATTAAACTTATTTGTTTACTGATACGATGGCCTTTGTTTTGTAGATAATGTTCCCTTTGGTGAAGTTTCAATGGCCCCGCCGTCTTTGAGCGCCAAACCCAAGAAAGCTCCAGTCAAGTCTCAGGTAACCTGCTCTTAATGGTTTTGTAAGAGGTTAAAGGGAAACTTAGGTATTTGTTAACATTCATGGGCAATTGTGCACACTCGGTTCACGTCCCCTAGAAGTGTTTGTTTTTGCCACTGACAGGCTCAGATTGTTGTTATAAGTGTATGACAACATTATGAAAAGGACCCCACAGAGAAACTAAACGTTTTTCTTTATTTTCGCTGATCCACTTTGTCTGTTATTGTGCGTAACCAAGTCTTGCTCAAGGAAAAGTCTCGTTTTGAAATTTCACTGACTATTCCACATTGTCAGAATCCGCTAAATATTCAGGCATGATGTTAAGAATCTTTAAGATAACACACTGCTGCACTTTATGTACTCCAACACAACGCACTCTTTCTGGCTCTCCTTTCTCTCCAACTCTCACTAAAGCCTAGTTCACGCTACACGATTTTCACCGCAATTTTGACATCGCAGAGGATCTTGAGAGCCACCTTGGGTAGGAGGTGAGTCGGCAGATAGTCTGCCACGAAGAGTCCTCGTGTGTGAACAAGCCTACGAGCAAGTCGCCCCCTCGTCTGAGACTGGGACTGGATATCTGGCATGCTAGAAAACTGGAGAAGTGTGACACGACTGACAAAGAGCATCAGCCAATGAGAGGCGGGATTCGTCCCACATCAGCACGCAGGAGGACGGAAGAAATGTGAGGAGGACAAGCTGCAGGGTTGCCAGGTCCGCTTATTAGGCGCGACTTTGAGTTTGTCTTTTTTGTAAAGTCGCTTACAAATGTTGGTAGTTGCGGGTTGTTGTTTTTTGGGTTTGTTTTTAAAGTGGAGTTTCTTATTTGGGCTTGCTCTCTAAACGTCGCTTCTTTTGGGCCTGTTTCCATAGCCCTGGTTGCTTGTTTCTCTCCCAAGATCTGGCATCACTGACAAGCCAGCAAGCAACAAAAACAATGGCAGCATCCACAGGATCACGGGAGCGCGTTGTGTTAGGACCCAGGCCCTGGATGCAGATCTGATTCAACACTGGGAATAATATCCATGCCTTTACGTTGTGTCGTCTCCAAGTTTGGTGACGTCACCGTATTATCTGGGGCTCTATCAGCGAGGGCTTGGTGGAGAAATCTTGTGGTGTGCACACAGGTTGTAAAGATCACAGAAACACACGTCGCCAGGTATGAACACTACAAAAGATTACGATAGTCTCTGCGTCGCATTTTGCGGGGTGAAAATCGTGTAATGTGAACTAGCCTTAACACTTCCATCATTGTTTTTCCTCCATCAAGTCAGCTCTCGCAAGATTTTAGAACAAGACTTCTCCTTAAGTAAGTCTTGGCCACAGGAACAGACAGACAGGGAAAAAGTAGTGAAAAATGCTGAAATTCACAGTAGGAATTTTTCCGTAATGTTGCCAGCCACTTATAATGACAATTTGAGCCTATCAGTGGCAAAAACGGCAATTTAAATGTTTGTAAATTGACATCGCACAATTGTCTGCAGGGTTATATCGCAGCCTGTTTCGCCACTGCAGCTGGAGCAGTTTTTCTTAATACTAAACCAGTTTCAAAAACTGTTGTCTCTATTAGTTACTTAGACACAAAAAATGTGACAATTGTGCCCCGGTTGAAAAATACTGATTTCCTTTTAAATGTGTCTTTTCTCCTCTACCTCCATCATTCAGAAGGCATCAAAAGATCTGCACCTCAACTCTCTTCTGGGCCACACGGCGGTATCCACAGCCAAGCCCTCCATGGCCAGACAGAGAATGATGGAGGAGGAGAGGGAGCGAGCAGTGGAGGCCTACCGCCTTCTTAAGAAACAGAAACAGCAGCAGCATGAGGCCAGGCATGCCAATCTGGAAAAACTCAAGAACCTCAAGTGATGTTTCATGTCAAAGAAGTATATAATTCACTGACTTCAGTCAGCAGTGACGCTGATAAACTGAAACGGACCGTGAGATAGTAACCATCAGCACACCGTTTGTGTTCTGTGCGCTGGAACTGATGCGTCAGTGAGGATGTTTACCACAATGTACCAAACTGTTAGGGAAAGGAGCAAACATTTTCATCCGCTGCCCACAGAGTGAGGTGAGTATAGTGACCAACATTCACCTGCAGCTTTCAGTTTCACATGTTCAGCTCAAAGGAGAACAGAATAAACAAGTGGTTAGTGCCTGTCTAAATATCTTATAATGGAGACAAACTAACTGACAGTTACATTGAGACAGGCGACTGTTGTTTATTTCTCACCCTTGTAACTGTCAGATGTTCACAGGCAGGTGAATTTGCATCTTTAGGTTATCACTACCACATCATTTGTGAAATGATGGACAATAAAATCACTGAGGCCATGTGAAGGCAAAGACAAACCTGTAATTGTTTGCTGTGGTCCCACTAGATGGCAGTCCTCCTGTAGAAAGCTGTTTCCATGTTGTTCATGTGAAGAGCTGACACAACATGCAGACCGATTCGTTTCTGGTCTTTTTAAAAGTAAATATGTGTTTTTGATGCTTTATTAGATATGTAAATTAAGTATTCAAAATATTGTGGAATATTTTCGTGCCTTGTTTCCCTTTGTACCTCCCCGAGAGCCTGAATCCTGGGATAAATAAATCACTTTGCATTTATTAGAGCCTGGCACAGCTATTTACATTTGTAATCCGGTAAAGATTTACGCTCATGAACAAGGTCTTTGTTGAAACAGTGGACTCTGGGACAAACTGTGCAGATTCAGTTTGTTTAACACTTTCATCTGTCAAATCATCCACAATACAAATGCAAACATTTTGCTGATTTTGTTTATTTCATTATTTAGCAGAATATCCACTGAATAATATCACCAGATGGTTTTACCTATTGATACTGGATCTCTGTTCTGTGGTTTCACAGTCGTTTCTGTTTGATCAGCTTTTTCTGTTTGCTCTGTCTTTGTCCACTGAGGGTTGTCACAGTGACAAGGAAATGCATTAAGTGGGGACAGCTGCTTCTGATTGGTAGTGCTGTCTCCCTTGAGCTGAGCTCAACAACCATTGGTCATCCACCTCTTGTGTCCATGTGCACAAGACAGCTGTTGGTATTATCTAGGGATTTACAGTTGCTGCCTGTCAGAGAAAGATGCTGTTTTTGATTTCAGCTCAAGTCAACGATCACGATATGTGTTTATTTACCCTCCTCTGCTCAGTGACACCTTGCCAGTATTTCTTTATGAGATAGATGGGTAAAATCCAGCTAGGCTCCTCGGGGTTTATCTATGGTGCTTACCACGGGGCTACAACTAAGAATTATTTTAATTGTCCCCCAAAGCCCAAGACGATGTCCTTAAATGTCTTGTTTTGTCCACAGCCTAAAGATGATGAGTTTACAGTCATAGAGGAAAAAAGAAACTATAAAATATTCACATTTAAGAAGACGGAATCAGAGAATATTTACTCTATTTTTTAAATAACTCAAGCCGATTAATAGTTGACAACTAATCGATTAATCGTTGCAGCTGTGTCAGTGGTGTTAGACAGTGACCAAGCTGTTCATGGACATGCTAAAAAAACACTGTATTAGATGTTTGAATGCTGTTTTGTTTACATTTGGATACTATTTTCCTGCTTTTCCGAGACTGTGCTGCCTCTCTGCATCTTTATTTGTATTAGCTTTTTGCATTTGTTTTTCTATCCACGCAGGTGACCGACAGGTGCAGGCCCGAGGCATCGCAGAGTAAAATCTAGCGTTCTGTTGTTCATCTCTGATCAGTCCGATTTCCAGTTTGTGAGCAATTTCCTCTCTGAGCAAGCACTCCTGGCTGCTGACAGCACAGGATGGTGGGAGTAATTGGGAGAGAGCCTACTCAGCCTGCTGCTAGGCAGCCACAGCTCACTCTGAAGCTCTGAAAGTGTGTACATGTGTGTGTGTGTGTGTGTGACAAATTGTATGTGATTAATTGTTCCTCTCCTTTGGAGAAAAGGAAGAACTCGTAAGTCAGAGCAGTTGTTTCATGTTTATTTGTCTCTTACCAATAATGTGATGATGTGGTGCATTTATTTGCAGCCCACTCAGTTTCCTATGTAACTAACATGCACACAGAGAAGGCTCCTTTCACTAGTTCTTCTGTCGGACAATAGTTTTTATCAGATGCTCCTAATAGCATCATAATGCCCCAAACTCAAAATGGAAGTGCATCTCTCAGTGGCTCTAATGCCTTATTTCCACCATATGTTTTGGCTGTAGACTCAACTCACCTTTGATACCAGGTCCTTTTCTTTATTTTGTTTTCAACTGCAGATAGTGCCCCCTCATTGTAGGCCGGATTCTCAGCTGACCGCCATAGCGACGCCACAAAAAACTTTAATGCTACACTAGCTGAATTCAGAGAAATGTCTGCACTTTGTCAGTTGTGCGGCGTAGTATACAACTTGGTTTGCAGGCTGCCAAATTTAAAAACGTGGGTGAAATGATTAAATTTGAGGTCGTTATTGACGGTAGCTTAGCTGTTTAAAAAAAATCAGGTTTGTGCTGGGTTTCTCGTGTTGCGCTTGTGAGAATTTTAGTGACGATTCTCTGACCAATCAGTGGTCTTGAGTGTTTTAACTCCTTATTTTAGTATCAGCTCAGCTCGCTTGGATCCTGGATCCAAAAAATTCCAGGTACAGTACTTACCCACAAGTTTTGCTCATGGAAAACCAAAAAAAAAGGAAGTCGAATTGATTGAAGCTGTGCTGTACCATGCAGTGTAAACAAGGCATATTACAGTCCTAAATTCAATCTCAAAAAGGGCGCCACATGGATTTGTTATGAGATTTTTACTGTTTAGGTACTGCATCATTCCCACAGTGTCACACTAAAATGGTTTATGCCATGTACACACACACACACATAACAGTACAGTATGATAGCCAATGCCTGCAGGGGCCCCAGGAAATGCAGTTAAAGCTTATCAAACCAACATATGTAAATAACTGCTCTGAGCAGTATAATCCTCGTGACACTTCCTCTTGCACTACCCATATCTGCCTCCTCGTGAGTTGACACCTGTTACAGTCCAACAGATCCAACAGCCACACAGTATTTAAGTATCCGTTTACAGTTTTAATAAGTTAGAATTTACACCTTTACATAAAATTTTCATAAGGCACTACAAAATCATATGGCTTTAAGAGGAAGTCTGAATCACAACATGATTTCACATGTGACAAAGCATGTTTACAACAGATTAATTACATTCAGTAGCTTTATGACATGAAAAACATTAGTGAGACTCTATGTTTGTGAATAAAAACTAACCAAACAGTTATATTATAGACCTTTCCTTTGCTTTAAACAGTTGTCATCTAATACTTATCTACTGTTTCCTTACCAATAAGCTGAATGTAGGTCAGCTGTCACCTGAAAACGTTCCACATTGCTGCATGTAAAAATTCTCTTGATTGTGTTTTTGAGTGAAACAAGATAGAAATGGATTTGAGTTAGAAGAGGGAAGATTTAGGGAAATTGTTTTCATGAATTAAAAATGAAATACAAGAGCTGAGGCACAACCTCTCCATGCTGAAATCATTTGGCTAAGTGTACAGTAGGCTCTATAAACTGCCCATATCCGACAGTGGTAGCCTTTATAATCTTTGTCTTTTCAGTCCTTGTTCTATAGAACAAACAAACAATGCACAAACATCTTACAAAATAAAGTACAGGACAACATGTAGAAATGTGACGCACGTTGCTTGAGAGCCACCACAGTGTGTTATTATGCAAAGCTTCATGCCAAGACAGAGAAAAGATGGCTCATTACATTTGATACAAGGAACTCTGAGGGAAGATGAAACTCCCTGGTGGAGATTTCATCGCTGTAACAACCGAGTGTGTAGGTGACAGCGCAATCCGCTCTCGACTCACACCGCCCGTGTGTGTGTGTGACAGACCTTAAGATGGCGAGGTCTCAACTGAACGAGGCAGAGAGCCGCCACTTCCTGGAACCAGAGACGGGGCTCTGGCTCGAGGTATCATCAAGTCCTGGTCCATCTGTAGAAACACACAGAGATGTGATTATTTCAGCAGGAGCGACAGAAGAGTGGTGTAAAACACTGTGTACTTGCTCACCTTTGTCAGACCCTTGGCAATCAGGGCTATTTCAGTGGGCTGGTACACACAACTCCGTAGCTGACCGTTATAAGCAGCATATGGAGACACTGGCTTTGTGGGTACTGGGAAAGAAAAGAAAATAAGTTTGGTGTGATGGTTGTTAGACGAAGGCACTTTAAAGTCACCTGCAACACACGTTCACTCAAACTGGCTGGTTAGGTGAATCAATATTTGCTGCATGTGTCAGGATAAATCAGAAGAACAAGTTGGATATTGTTAAACTTTAGAAGCAACCTGCTTTGGGTATTATTTAAATATACCACAGTGACAGTTTCTTTCTGGTTATCCACCCCAACACCAAAAAGTTTGCTCTCACTTTTTTCCTCTTCCTGCTTAGTTTCTGTTTGTCATCAGCTTCATGGGCTGCAAACCACGGATACTCACTTCAGTTTTTTTATTTATGTAGTTTTTTTATTCACATTAATGAACATGTCAGCTTCCACTTCAATGTAGGTGTGCCAGAGTTAGCTCATGATCACTATGTACCAGGTACAGATTAATAAATTACCTCACATAATGACTCTGTAACTATAATGTGACTGATATAACTGCCTCACAATATTGGCCAAGGACATAACCTTTAGTAAGTAGATCAGACTTTTGTCCTAAAAAAAAGGGGGACATGGTTCCAGAATGGCACACTTTAATATTTATCCTGTAGGCAGATTTCCTTCAACACAGACACTAATACATGTGGACAAAAAGCAATTCACTGTCAGTAGGCCTAACTGTGAAAGAGAACGTGTCTGCTTACATACAGTAATAGGCATCATACAGATTTTTGGGAGTGTTTTTTGCACACATTTCAACATGCAGAGCCACAGTACACTACAGAAGTTGTGATCTGCCAGTTATTTCACAATCGTTTCCTTTGGCTCTTGAATGAAGAGGAGATTAATGGTACATCCTATTAGCTACGCTGTTGCACTTCATTATGTCATACAGCTCACCTGTGCGTGGTGTGTTGCCAGTTTGCACACCACAGAAAGCATGAATAAATCATTTAATCCAGTTCAACTAAAATGGAGTTACTGAGGGAAGTTTGAGATCCACTGATTTAATCTTAATACTGTCCTGCAGATTCATTTTGATTTTTGATTCTGATTGTAGTTGAGCACAGTGAGATTCATGTCAAGCCATAATGTGTCATGCTGTACCTGCTGGTGGCTCGTCCATAGAGAAGGCTTTATTCTCCATGTAGACTTGCTCTGGCTCCTTATGGGCGTTGTCGTACACCAGGCTCATGGCAGGATAAACATCCTCTCCATCGAGCGGCTGCTCCTGGTCTGGGTCTGCCTGGGTCAGTAAGCAGATTTCTGGGATGGCGTAGGAGAAGAGGAACACCCAGGCATTCGACACCAGGGCTATAGCCAGAGTAGGATCATCCCAGCTGGGATTCCCGGCCACTCTGTTCCCGTGGAGGTACATGACGATCCAAGCTACCCAGATCACCAAGGTGAAGAGCCCGGTGGCCAGGATGAAGGCTCCATCACTGCGCCACTGCTTGTGCTTGTGTGTCAGTGAGGGCAGAGCCATCAGCACCACAGCTAGCAGCAGAACCATCACGTAGATCAGAGCCATCACAAAGTCCTGGTTGGCAACGCCGCAGGACAGGTCAGAGACGATGATACTTCCAGGTGGGCTTCTGACCACAGTGATGATGAGCCACTCAGTGTTGATGATTACCTCGACCATCCATAGACCCAGGGCTCCCAGGCATAACATCCAGCTCCTGGGCCCCCGACCTCTCCGCTCCAGCAGGGCGAGCCACAGCCCGTGCATTGCCAGGCAGGCCAGACAGCCTGAGAACAGTACCCCAAAGAGGAACCTCCGTGCAGCACAGCTGGTGGAGTACCGACCCACGATGAAGGCAAAGGTGAGTCCAAAGAGTCCCAGAGTGAAGACCAGAATGCCGGCCTGCAGGGCCACCATGCCTTTTCTCTTCTTGTGTGTCACAAACGGTAAGCTGGCCATGAGGACGACCAACAGAATAAAGGAAGTCACCACACCAGTAGCAGCAAAAGCCTCCACCACGACTCCCCACGCTGTGGTCAGGTCACACAGGTTGTAGTACATGGAGCTGATACTGGAACCACATCCCCTCGGAGCACTGGGCGGTTCCATGGCTTCAATGAAGACTTTTAAAAAGTGCTGCGATTAAAATATAAAAATATAAAATAATTATGTTTTCCTGCATGCTGAATGTATGCATCTCACTGCTGCACATCCAACCCCCCCACTGGGGACCAATAAAGTTATTGATTGACTTGCATGCACCTGAAAACAAACCATGTTTCTGTAGATTATTGCAGTGTCCCAGCACAGTATGATCTACACACTGTACTGAGCCAGCTGTGTGGAGTCCTACTGTGTTATACTAAAATATATGAATTCATCTGATGCTTTAAAGAATTACAGCAAATTGTCTCTCAAATCTAATTTGCACAGTCTTCACTTTAACATTTCAACAGGAGACATAATCAACATTACCCACCTAAAATCTTAGATAAAGGTAAAATTATTTTGTATTCAACTGTAAGTCTAATAGCCTAATTATTCCACTGTCAATTTCGTGATATTTTGCTCCTGACATACAAAAATGTACAGTTATCAGTGCAATCTAAAAATGATCGAAGGTTGTCAATGTCAAGTAACAGCCACGCATCTCCAAATTTGATGACTTGTAAAGGGGAACGCAACCTAAATTAAGTATGACAATGCTATTTCCATGACTGAGGAAAGTTCAGTCAGTATTTGAGCTACTCTGTTCCAAAGCCAGAAACCACAGATGTACGTTTTAAATTTGTGACGTCATAAGGAAATGGTTCTCAAATGGTGCACATTATCATTGCATTGTTCAACTGGGCCTGTGCAAAAAGTTGTGAATGAATTGTTAATTGACTGTTTGAGCATGTTGTGTGCACCCATTTTCTAACAAAGAGGTAAACTCTGGGTTAAAACGTGTAATTTAATCTAATGGGAATTATAAATGGGTGACACATCAAAAGCTGTGATTGGCAGCCAGTGTGAGGGATGACAACGATTAAAAGAAGAAAGCCGTGAGTGGGACAATGGATCGTTTTATTACCGTATATGGAGCAACAAAGCACCAGAGAAGACGATCTACCATCTCATTTTTCTTTTATATTCTTAAGTCATGATAAAAGTGACACATGTTATAGACGCTATTGTGCGCAGATATAAATACAGGTGTGCCTTGAGATTTTGGCTTGCCCTTTGGTGTTTGAAAACCACTGTCACAGGGTATAAAATTTGGAGCTCCTCCACAAACGAGGAGATTTCGTGGACACACAGAATGTTTTTTTTTTATATATCCAAATGAGCTTTATGCTACTGTAGTAATCTCAGCTCTGACACTAAAAATGTACCCATATACTATAACATCTTTTACAATTTATTGTCTGTGGAGCAGCTCCAGACTTTATACCCTATGACATCACAAAGTTGAGTTTCAGCACTCTAGTTTTTGGATTTGGGAGAGAGGACTGTTTCAGACAACTAGAATAACATGTATGGATTTTGAAAATGGGTGTAGTGCCCCTTTAAGTGTATCAGTTGAGAACATACCCTATAAGATTAAAAAACAGTCAAGTGGATTATCTGTCATAAATCTAAAAACAGGCTTTTTTTTAATAAGGTTATAAAAGCTGACATTTGGTTTATGACATTTATAGATGGTAAATTAAAAGGTCCCAGGATAAAAATCATTTCCACATACAGTAACACAGTGATATAAGCCCACGGTGACTTTCCGTCACTTCTTACCAGGACTGATGACAGACAGCAGTTCCGCTCCAACAGGTGACTCAGGTAGATTCACTCCCGTAAGAATAACACAACCTCGTCCGAAATATTAATTTCCCGGGTGTTATCAGGCTCCTCACAGACCTGTCGACCAATTTCAGATGTGCACTCACTGGATCCACGGGTGTTTTCCCGGACAGTCCTCCATCTGCCCACTCCTTCTTAATTGTTATTGAACCATGTTATAATGAAGTCACCGACAGCCGCGTCAAAGTAGTTTCCCCGTCACGTTATAATAACTCTGTGACTGTACTTGTGTCAGCTCAACCCGCTGTGTCTCCTCATCCAGCCTGTGGTGTTTGCAGCTTTGCATATTCTGTGAGATTAGCTCCCGGCCTACTTATTTGTATCAGGCAGCTTAGATCCAAACAAAGGGTCCACTCACCTCTCAAGTGAGACATTTCCACTTGCACACAATCTGTGCAACGTGGTCTGGGCTGTGACCTGTTGGACATGTACACACTTCTAGGATGCAAATGATACATAACCCTTTACCTTTTTGTTTTATTAAGGGGAAAGGCCCACATACAGTTGTTTAAGAATGATTGGATGCTCATTTATGCTGTTTACCTCCATTAATAGCCAATTTAAACATAAATAACATGCATCTGGAGAAATCTAATAAAACTGGAGTCCACCATACTCTTTTTAAGGATAGGTACTAAAGTGCAGTCATCATCAAAGGGAAGACTGTGCCTCCAGTTTGCAGAGCCACCTGGTGGAAAATATTGTTACCAGAGAGATGGACTCCTGTGTTACATAATCAAATCAGATTACACAACAACACAAAACAGATCTTGTTATTGATCTGTTGTGCGCCAAACCACTTAACAGTCATTTGATAAATAGGAACATCGAGCGATGACATTGATTTAAAGCTTTTAAATTATCCCCACTGGATAAAATTGGAAAATATTCCTGAACATTTTTGTTTTTGGAATAACGCATCAAAAAGTTGCTGGAATACTTTGTTAAATAGGAAATTACAATCTTTATTATTGTGTTAAAAAATACTCAATATCATAGGTTGCTCTTTGTATATTTTAATGTTGTATTTTAGTCTGACAAGGCAATTTTTTTGTATATTTTATTACACATTTTTATTTACCTCTGCTTGTTTGCCCAGACTGTGTGAATATTTAAAGGGACAGTTCACCAAATTAAAAATACATATTTTATTTCTTACCTGTATAGAGCTGTTTATCAGTCTTGCTTGATTTGGTGTGAGTTGCTGAGTGTTGGACATATCAGCTCTAGAGATGTCTGCCTTCTTTTGAACAGGGTTTGAAACTAGATGGCACTCGACTTGTGGCGCTCAAAGTCAACCGGGTTTCTCTCCAAAGTCGTCAAAATCCGGCGTTTGGGCAGTGACTTGCGGCGTCAGACACTGACAAAAAAAGCTGTCATGAAACGTCGGTGTGCTACGCGGCTGGTCGCTGTCATAAGCCCCTTTTACACTACCAGATTTTCCGCGAATGTTGGGCCGTTTCGCCGGCAAGCTGCAAGTGTTTAGACACACAGAGCCGGATTGGCGAGTTGATCCGAGGTGCCCAATTTTCCACCTTTTAGGATAGTCATATTGGCGGAACCCTTTTAGTTTAAACAGACCGAGGCGGCCTTCCGCAACGGGAGGGGCTGTTGATGACTTGTGGGAGGAGCTGTTGATGACGCCGCACGTGCGAGCCACTGGAGGTGGATAAACAGGAAACAGCTGATAGCAGGAATTAGCGAGCCGCTAGTAGCAAGAGGGAAATGCAAACCTGACAGACACCTGTAAAGATGAGCAACTGGGGAGACAAGGAATTGCGCACCCTCCTTGCCCTCGCCAACGAAGAGGCAATTAACCGTCAGATGACGGGGACAGTGAAGGACGGGCCAACTTATGAGAGAATCGCCGAAGGACTGACCAGCCGCGGCTTCCCTCCCGCGTCACTGTTCACACGCTGAGCTACACGTTTTGTTACTTGCTCACGCTGCCCATTGCCCCAAAAAAGGCGCATTCTGTATAAACAAAAGTAGGAAGCCGGCATTTTGCTGCAACCCCACCACCCAAAAAATAAAGAAATATATATGGAAAAACTCAGCAACAATGTCTATTTCCAGAAACCATGACCCACTTACGCAAGATAATCCACAGACTTTGTTGTGAGCAGATTCATGTATGAACTATTTTTTCTTTCCGACGAACTGCACCTGAAAACCACGTGACGGCTGAGCTGTAATGTTAGCTAGCTCAGTTGTGCTGATTTTCAAATGCTTTTTTTTTTTTTTTTAGCACCACAAGCCAAGTGCCATCTAGTTCCATTATATCTGAGAGGAGGCAGACATCTCTACAGCCAATATCTCCATTACCAGACAACTCACACCAAAACAATCTAGATTGATAAATAGCACTACGGGTAAGAGGAAAAATATGTAGTTTTGATTCTGGGGTGAACTGTCCCTTTAAAGTCACAAAACTTCTCTTATCATCTCCCTTCCTCATTTAGTTGTGAAACTTACAGTTAGGAAAAAGACAGTGTCACAAAGAAATAGGCCAAATAATACCATTGCAACATTAAATATGCTGTCTAGTGCAGTTTGGCAGGCATGTTGACGTGCCTGGAAATATGACCCAACAACAGACTGCAGTTTTATTCATTTGTAGCTCTTTTTATTCATTGTACTCTCAGTGCATTCAATATGTAAATGTGTGTTTATATCCAAAGCCATTTGTGTCATGTTTGGGAGTTGTGGTTATCTAGTGCATCCCCTCTGGCTTCAGCACAAAAGTAAGGTCATCCAGGACACCTTGCTGAAGCCCACTGTGGCGTTCACCCTGTACTAAACGAACTGTTTATACTGCGTGATGGAGCCCCCTGTGGTGCATCGATCCCTCAATGGATCCCGTCCTGAGGGGTGCTCTCACAAACCCAGCAGCTCGTCAATCTGTCCCTTTGTGTTGTGGTCCTTTTAGATTCTTAATAGGAGCTGATCTCAAAGGAGAAAGCAATGTGACCTTAATGAAGGGCATGGCCTTTTATAGATGCACACATACAGAGGGCTTTGGGTTCATTCTGTTTTCATCATGTGGCTCAACAGCAGTTGCCTGAGTTGCTTTTACGTATACCCAGTGTTTAAATAGATCACCAGGTAGTTCAATGCATTAAAGTTCACCCCAAAATAAAAAATACATGTTTTTCCTCTTACCTGTAGTGCTATTTATCAAGATTGTTTTGGTGTGAGGTGCTGAGTGCTGGAGATATCAGCCATAGAGATGTCTGCCTTCTCTCGACTATAATGGAACTAGATGGAACTCAGCTTGTGGTGCTCAAAGTGCCAAAAAAATACATTTGAGAAACTCAACAGCAATGTCTCTTTCCAGGAATCATGACCTGGTTACTCAAGATAATCCACAGACCTTGTTGTGAGCAGTTTCATGTAGTCTGTCTACCTACAGAGGGAAGGAAGTAAGGAAGCAAAGAAGGATGTGTGCATCTGCTCATGGACGGTAGGTTCATGCTCACTATAGTGTGAGATGTTAACATTTAGGGCATCCTTCTCAACTAAGCTATAATGTTAGCTAGCTCAGTGGTGCTAGGTGAGCTGGTGGATGCACATTTCCTTCTATGTGGTGATTCAGTTTGCAGGTGTAATTCGGTAGAAAGAAAATAGTTCCCACATTACGCTGCTCACAACAAGGTCTGTGGATTACCCTGAGTAACAGTCATGATTTCTGGAAAGAGACATTGCTGTTGAGTTTTTCAAATGTATTTTTTGGCACTTTGAGCACCACAAGCCGAGTGCCATCTAGTTCCATTATATTCAAGAGAAGGCAGACATCTGTATGGCCGATATCTGCGACACTCAGCAACTTACACCAAAATAATCTAGGTTAATAAATAGCTCTACAGGTAAGAGGAACAATATGTATTCTACAATTTTGGGGTGAACTGTCCCTTTATCACAAGTCTCATTATTTAAAGATTCATAGCAAAAAACTCATGAATCTTATTTCTGTGCATTGGTATCCAAACAAATAGAAGATGCCATCATACATTATAATCCCATGCCTTGTCTATGTTGTCTGGTCCAGTTTGTTGCAGCAGGCTTCATTAGGGCTCCCCAGCAGCACCGCTCTCCTCCGAGAACCTGTCAGGTTATTCATAGCAGTGCAGGCTCAGGTTGGGGTCCCGCAGGATGTTTCTTCTCCTGCATTTTTACTGCAGCCTGGCAGCCCTCAGGGCATCACCACAACCCATTTCACTGTGAGATGATGCCTCTCCTTGTCTGTCTAGTTTTGGAGCTATTTTAAACACATTTGTCACATTGCAGCATGTTAGTGTAAATATTCTGATTGGACTAACAGCCTAGTGAGATGCAATGAATATAAAAAAATCAGATCCATACTTACTTTTTGGAGAAGATTTTAACTGGGGTCTCAGTATTGACTGACCCATCTCTGACTGACAGATCAATGCTAACTGAGGGATACATAAATGGCACTGTAAACATTGAGCCATGACCAGAGGCGTTATCTATTGTTGTCATCGCTGCCATTTCACATTAAAACATACTCTTCTAGTATCCCAGATGCCATATTTTATTCGAGGATGTGTGACTATTCCATGTCATGTGGCTCCCTTTGAGCTGTTGTAGCATTTCATATTGATTATCATAGCTTGAAGGTTAGTATGTTCCCTGCAAGCTGCAGACCATTAGCTCCATATCCAGCTGGAATTCATATCCCACACATTCATTAAACCCTCTGACCTCTGTGAGGTTTGTGATGCAACGGCTGCACCTGAAACATGCTCTGGATCGGTAACGTGACTCCATAAAATCCTGACTGGCAGTTGGATTTGATAAACAGAGCTCGCCTTAAATTAATGAGCGGACCCCGCACCAATGAAATCATCCTCCCATTAGTGAGATTAACATGCCATCAGAGGAATAATTGCTCTCAGCTGAGAAACTGTCCTACAAAATGGATTGTGAAATTTGACTGACTGCGGTTTGTCACACATATTAAACCTCAATTACTTTTGGCAGATAGTCTCAGTGGCAACCTACTGTGATTAACTGACTAATTATATGATGCTGAACGTACTTAACTTAGGTATCATAACAACATTTTGCAGTGCAGGAGATTCGCTGCATTCTGGGTGCCATTAAAACATGAAACTGTGTTAATATTGATTGCTAATAGTGCCTAACCTCCCTGACTTTTAAACTAAAAAAAACAGAAAAACAAAAACCATTAAGCTGAGTCCTTGGCTGGCCCAGTGCCGCTGATCAATGCCATGTAACATCCAAAAGGAATGGATGGAGAAATTCAAAATCAAAGCTGTCGCTATAGCAACGCCCCTGCCAGATTCCACCAATCAATGGAGTCCGTGGGGTTGCGAGATGCGCCAGGGAAAGGCCAGCGTCCTACATAAAGAGTGCGGGACAGGGAGCCGGGCGGCACACACGGGGCAACACACCTTTCTGCACGCACACGACAAAAAGGCACAGCAGCAGGAGGAAGAGTCAGGAGAAGAGTGGCACAGAGTAAGGAAGAGAGGGGGAAAGGACAAAGGAAGAGAGGCAGGGAATAACTGAGAAGATATGATACGCTCATGTGAAAAAGGGATCCCTGCCTGGGTCTGTGTGGGCACCCTGCTCCTCTTAATCTGCTCTGTCACAGTTAGAGGAGGTAAGACATCAAATGCCATCAGTAGTTTGAATTGTTTGATTTTAGAGAGTCTATCACTCTTTCTTTAATATCCTACATTGTAAGAGAAGCTGTATTGTTCTATTTCAGTCCAGCTTCCCCCATACTGTCAGTGGGTAGTAGGGCACAGCATGAATGTGTGGCTCGTGCTCAGCCTCAGGGCAGGGGATGGTTATTTATCTATTCTACTCATCCTGTCCTCATCTATCTGTCTGCTGGGTGCAGGGAGAGACAGGCAAGTCCATTTGCTGCCTGGCTTTGTGCCGGCTCAGTGATACAGTACAGTACAAGCGCTGAGGGAAAGCTTTTCTTACTCCTTAATGAAGATCTGACTTTGACTGATTTTGACCAAAGCCATTGAAGGCCACATTCCTTCGCTGACAGATTAGATTTCATTTAAAAATTTACCCACGAGCCAAGGCTCATCTAATCCTATATTTAGGGACTGTGTATAAAATGTTTTATTCAGTGTTTTCAGCTCTTCTCAGCTTGAGTGGAAGAGACTCTGAAACATTTTTTATTCATAACTTTTTACTTTGAATTGAACCTCTCATGTTTTTTTTTCTTTCAGAATCAGGAAAAAAATCCTGCTTTCCCAGTTGTGATGAATTTGGTGATTTCTTTTTCAATTGGTCTCAGTGTGCCAGAATCATTTGTCAAAACACACCCCCACACCATCCTCAGCTGGCTCAGGGTGCTCACTGGCTAATTGGAAAAAGGTTACTTTGAAGTGGGGGTGCTTGATTGTGGTAGAGATATGAAGACTGTGAGGCGTTCCAGGGAGCCAATGTGCTCCCCCTGTGTCTCATTAAACCCCCAGTAATAGGCCAACAAGGCTGCTGATGGCTGTGGCAGAATGGAAACAGCAGCGTGTCATGCTGAGTCTTTCATGTGTGATTCTCCAGTATGTGCCACTTGTGCTTGGGCCCACAGAAGCAGCCGTCTGCATAGCGCTGCGAACTCAGGATTTGTTTCTGAGGCACCTGGTGTCGGAGGTTTTCTGAATCAGCCACCTGGCTTGTTCACTAATAATTGAGACCAGAAGAATGTGCAAGTCTGCTCTTCCCCTGACACATATTATCAGTTGTGGTTTAGCCGAAGAGTTGGGGAGCACTTTTCCACTTCTTGCTGTGTCAAACCTGATTTAAGTTGTAGAACAAACGCACACAAATTCTGCTGTGGGATCTTGGAAAGCAGAGTCAGACTGCTGCAAATTACAGTGATGAAAATAGAAAAGAAGGAAGAACTGTGCTGCTAGTCCATCATCTTGTCCTCTCTTTTCCACAGCTGCCCTTAAGCAGGAGGTAACAGTGGACAATGGGGCCACGGTGCTGAATCACTCCATGAGTTTGGTGCAGCGTATGGAGACCCTGCTGGCCCTGGGGAATGGCAGTGATGTCACTCTGCGGGTGCAGACCATCAACACGGACGAGGTGAAGGTGATCCAGGCCCACAGTCTGGTTCTCACGCTGCAGAGTGACGTGTTTGAGGAACTGCTGCTCAGTCGCAACAACAGCGCTGTGGTTTTGAGAGAGACGCCCGACTGTGCAGCTGTCTTTGACAAGTTTGTCAGGTGAGGATGACTCCGGTTGTGATCTTTTGTTCAGAGTTAATCAAACTCAGTGAGATGGAAGCATTTAAGAGACAGTGGAGCTACTTGTAGATGCCACTGAATTTTCCACGAGTATGCACCATTTTGCCTCCTCGGAGAAGCGAGATGCTCCATCTTGTGAAATATTCTAAAATTACACCTGCTGCTTGAGGCTCATAGTCGAAAATTGGACAGTGTGGGTTTATACAGTGACTCAGATGTGAGGAGAGAAAACAAGTATTATGCCTTCCTGAAATATATATATTTTTGAGCATGTCTTAGATGACTATTCCAGCTTTGTTTTTCTCTTGCAGGTATCTGTACTGTGGTGACATCTCAGTGCGGCTAGATCAGGCCATTTCTCTGCATAAGTTGGCCAGCAAGTACCACGTGTGGGCCTTGCAACAGGGTCTGACCCAATATATGACCCAGCATCTGTGTAGTGATTCGCCCTCTGGCCATGTGATTGGCTGGTACAACTATGCATTACAAATTGGGGACATGGTCCTGCGGGACAGCTGCCTGCAGTACCTGTCCTGGAACCTGTCTTCTGTGCTGCAGAGCGGAGAATGGGGCTCTATCAGCGAGGACCTGCTCCTCTCCTTGCTTCAGCGCTCTGACCTCATTCTGCAGAGTGAGCTGGAGCTCTACGAGGCCCTGGAGGCCTGGATTAGCCAGAACCAGCCTGTCAGTTCGACAGTTGAAAATGCCCTAAGGGCTGTTCGGTATGGCATGATCCCCCCTCAGCACCTCTTCCGTCTTCAGAAGCAGTCTGCCCTCATGAAGAAGCATTATGAGTCAATCCGTGATCTGCTCTACCTTGCTTTCCAATTTCACTCCGCCTCACCTATCCAACTGGCCAAGTACTTTGATGTCAACTGCAGCATTTTCACTCCCCGTAACTACCTGTCTACCTCCTGGGGTTCCCCTTGGGTCATCAACAACCCCACCCGTGATGACCGCAGTTTCAGCTTCCAGACCCAGCTCGGGCCCAGTGGCCATGACTCCAGTAAGAAAGTGACTTGGAACGCCCTATTCTCCCCTCGCTGGCTCCCACTCAGTGCCAGGTCATCCTATACTGAGCTGGGTGCCATGCAGCCTACGCGCACAGATGGAGGTCGACCTCGCATCATTGTAACACCAGCCACTTCCAGTCCAGACTTTGCCGGTGTGAGTTTCCAGAAGACCGTGATTGTGATGGCAAGACAGCAAGGAAAAATAGTGGTCCGCCACGTCTACAACTTCCACCAAAGCACAGAGGAGGCTGGGGATTTCCTGGTGGATGCCGACCTGCAGCGCCGTGCATCAGAGTACCTGATTGACAGCTCCCTCTATCTGCACATTGTAATAAAACCTCTCTACCATACCCTCCTTGTTGCCAGGAAGTAGCGACAGGAATTTGGTGTGGCCTTACCGTTGGTCATCCACGCTCCACTCTCACAGTCACATGCACATGCTCCAAAGTAAACTCATATCCCAGCCCGTCTTCATGCTTCATGTCTGTGACATCTCCATTGTTGATTAGTTTGTGCATTTTGTTGTCTTCCATCTATTCAACAAGGAGGTGTTTGATACAGTAAAGGACTCACAATATAACGGCTCAGCAGTAATTATCACAGTAATGATGGTGGGTTTTACAATATTTCATGCATACAAAAAAAAAAACTTCACTGTACTGTATTTGTTCAGGTATTCTTTAGTCCAGCGGTTTGTTCTTTGAATTTATTAAATCTACGTAATGGTTAATGTTGTTTGCATAGGTGCTTTAGAAGTTTTGCTTTAAAAATGTTATTGCTGTCATTTTTATGCATTTCACCATTCAGCAGTCAAATATAGCTTTCAGTTCATTTCACTTATATCCTGTGACATACTCTTATATACTTGTTTGTGTTTACATACCAAAATGTGTAAATTAAAGTGCAATCCCATTATCAGTGTTCCTTTGAATAGGTGACTGTAGTTGTCTTGCAAGCAGTGGTGGGGAAACTACATTTAAACTGTAGTTTAGCTACTTCACAATTAAAAGTAGCTAAATTAAATCTTAACTACATTAAAATAACTTGCTTGTTAAAGTGAAACTATTTCCAAAAAGTAGTTCAACTACACCCAAACAACAGCACAGGAAATGGTCACAATCTGAGTCTAAAATCTCATATTGTTACACGGACGTACAACTGAACTCACACTGCTTAAAGTGTAGGTGTGTTAGATTTAGGGACGGGGGCAGGCCAATCCTCATCGAGGCAGCCTGAGGATGAGTTTTAGGGAAAGGAGTTGTTGGGGTGGAATCAAGAAAATGCTAAAGTTATAGGGACATTCATAGTCTTTGATTGCAGACAACTGTCATTAAATGACAACTGCAGCTAATTAGCTGTAGCATTGTGCCATTTTGTATGGCAAAAATACGTCATGACAGTGCTTAAAATATGTAGTTTGTAATTAACTACATAAACTTCATGACACAAAGTAGTTCATTACCAAAAAAGCTACTGAGAATTCAGTGTAATTTACATGTAGTTCACTACACCCCAACACTGCTTGCAAGACAGTGAGTCCTTTGGTATTTTTTTTTAATTTATTTATTGTTCCACATGCATTTTATCTAAACCAATATGTGATTTTCATCCTGAAACAAAAAATATTAATAAAAGACAATAGACAAAAAAAAGTCTGTGTTTGCCTGTATTAAATTTGCTGAAATAAACTTTATTGAAGCAACAATAATGTATGATCTCACTGTAGTTTGATGATTTTGATGAGTTACAGCAGACATGTCCAAAGTCGGGGCCTGGGGGCCAGTCGTAGCCTGTGGAATGAATGAAAATGGCCCCGGTTTGTCTTTTAAAATATAGTATATGTGGTCGACTTGTTTATACAAGCAGGATCACTTTGCGTTTTTTCTGTGCACCCCACGATGGTACGACTATCATGCACTCTGTAACCATGCACCTAGTAGGAGGCGGTAAACAAGAAAAGAACAGTCACCTAACAGCAAACATTTCCTGCTAAATAGTGGACATGGCCACAGCAAAAACGTAACTGCCACATCTCTACCATCTCTTCATTAGCCCCGTGCACTCAGGCCGTTGATATCTCCAGATACACAATATCTAAGTATGTCAAAAGCAACACACGGGGAGACTGGGCGTGAGGAGGCTTCCGATGGGTAGTGACCAGTTTCTTTGCAGCTGTAAGCCCAGCTAACAGCACTCATTTTTTTGAGCAATGTCAAGTCCGTCTTAGGAAAATCATTTAAGTGTGGAAGGCGAGCAAGGAACGCTATTCTCAAACATCTCAGAGAGATTAGAAGCAATCCAGAACCTCGCCACTGGAAGGCATTCCCAGAAAGTGTGAAAAAAGGTACCTGGGGCTTGCACAGGACACAAGAAGGTTCAGGGATAGTTTTCATTGAACAGAGCTTCCCTGGAGTCAAATATGTTCTGTGAATAAAATTATAATGTGTGATAAAGTCTGATTTCTAGTAGACAAAAGCATGTTGGACCAGACTTTCATTCATTCATTCATTTTCTGTAACCGCTTATCTGTTAGGAGTCATGGGGGGCTGGAGCTTATCCCAGCTGACACTGGGCAAAAGGTGGGGTACACCCTGGACAGGTCGCCAGACTATCGCAGGGCCAGGATATAGAGACAGACAACCATTCACACCTACAGGCAATTTAGAGTCACCAATTAAGCTAACCTGCATGTCTTTGGATTGTGGGAGGAAGTTGGAGTACCTGGAGAAAATCCACACTGACATGGGGAGAACATGCAAACTCTGCACCTACCCTGGGTTGGAAGGGGTCTAAATGCCTGCCGTAATATAAGCTGATAACATTTGGTAACCAGACCACTTGTCCAGCTTGTGCAGGAGCAGTGAAATGTTGAATACTTTTGCAGGGAAAGATTCGTTTGTCTCATTGGATGTAATTATTTTGTTGTTTTTAAGAACCCATATGATGCAGGAAGCAGATGGTCCTCAGGTATTTTCACATTATCTAATATGGCCCCCGTTTAAAAAAGTTTGGACACTCCTGAGTTAAAGGAATTGATGGAAAAGACTTTCGCTTTGTGCCCACGCGGCAGAAAACTACATATCCCATGATGCACGGCGCAAGGCAGGAAATACGCCATTACGTCGTTGGAACCTTCAGCTGTCAGACTTTGGCCACCCTAAAAGTGCAGGTTTTGTTAGCAAACTAACTCGGACTGTACAACCCGCGCTGACTTTATTCAAAGTTGTGCATTCATCTATTAATCGATCTTTGAGTGCGCGAGCCGCCGATCGAAGCGCTAACATTGCACGAGGACGAACCATTTGATTTAATCGCTGCTAGTTTTTGCACAAGCCAGCGATCCTGAGCGGGTGTAAGGCTAGATGCAGGGAGGGAGGGAGTAAAAGAAGGCAAAAGTCTTTGTGCTTCCCTTCCCCCTCATCAAAGCAAAGGGGAAATGTCTCTGTCTAAAGGAGGTAAGTGGGTTTTTTCCACTGTTTTTTTGTGTAAACAACCGTGCATATGTGTCAAACATCGAGCTGCAGTTTGCGTGGAAGTAATTTAGCTAGCTATGTTTGAGAAATGTAACCTTGCCAGGTGGAAAGCTGCATGTATGAGAGGAGGAAAAAGAAGCTAGCCAGAATGTCTTGCTTTCTATCATTATGCGAAGTCTCTAGACAGACTGGTGTCTGAAGGTATTCATTAAAGACTCAATGATAGTGCGCGAAAGCGTAGTTTTTATTATTAACATGTTAGCTAAATGCTACACTCGCGTCTCCGTTCCCGTGTTGTTGTTAGCTACCAGCATTTTCTCGACATTAAAGGAGTTTTGCCAAGCTGTAATTATGAACCAACTTGCCCCTCAGCTGGGAAATACCGCGCTGGGGTAAGTTTGTGTCTTTGGGTGAAGTGAAGCACACTGGGACCACAGGTGTTTGTGTTTTTCGGCCTCCTGACTCATGACTGATCGATTGTGTTGAGTCCTTTTGGTTTGGCCACTGTGTTAGCGCAAACATATTTATAGCGCAGCGTCCATGTAAATGCTTTAATGCATGTTTCCCCCCTGGTAATGAAAATCCCTTTATTTTTTTGAAAGCAGGCGGCGATGCCAAGGAACCATGGCGCTATCACACACTTGGCTTCCGCCAGTCAGTTAGCGAGTCTGTGCTGTGTAATCACTGTGCACTGTTGAATAAAATACACACCTTGGAAAAATCAAGGTCCCTCCTCTGCGTCACACGGGCACACGGACACACACACACACACACACACACACACACACACACACACACACACACACAGCATGACGATGATGTCAATTTACATTTCAAGTTCACCGCTTGTGCTGTTACACAATCATACTAGCGTTACCATGGTCGGGAGTACACACTGTTTTGAGAGGGCTGTGTAGATTGGCTGGGTGCTGCTCAGGCAATCACAGCCTTTGGCCTACCATGGCATGTTTTGACTTGCAGCACCAGTACCTAGTGCAGCCTCTCTTTTGTTGACAGTTCACTGGCTGCAAGCAGATACTCTATAGCTGCTACACAGGTTCTGTGCTGTAATTGTTGTGTGCACCAAAGCAGGCCAGAGGTGTCTTTGTAAAAGTTATTTCCATTTTCTGGCCACTACAAGGAGTTGTGCCCAGCTGGTCAAAAGGGAGGAGTGGGCCCTAAGTGCATTGCAGTGCCGCTGTTCATGGTATTGCTGAGGCATGTTTAGAGATTGGGTTCTCCCTAACAGCACTGATAGGGTGGTGTGGAAGATTATATGTGCATGAGTCATCCTTTTCTGTATATGGACCCACTCTGAGGGTTGGAGCTTCCTGATGGTGACTCGCCACACAGCTATTGACACTTTGATCCCATGCACAATCCAGAAATTCTTGTTCACATTACGTATGAATTACTGCACTCTGGGTAGTTTCCACTAAACATCTTTTTTGACTTCCTATGAATTACTGCATTTCCTGTAAAAGCTCACCAATTCACTGCTACTGTCTTTAGTAGCTGATACTTATAACAAACACAGAAGCAGCAGCAGCAAAAATACTGATTTAATCAGGATACTATGATTGATACTTACAATAAAAATATCTTTAGTGTGATAAATCTCTTCCCATGTGAGTGCAGAGGTTTTTTTTAATATATAAAATGCATTATGCAACTTGCACCATATTTGGATACAAAGCAAGGTTTCAGTGCACCCATTGATATAAATAGCATGAATTATAAGTGCTGGGATTGCTACTGTGCATCACCCACTCCCTTGAAACACTTGCTGCCAAAATGGTTTCTGTGTACATGTGTTTCACCTGTGCAGCCTCCATATACTTTGACTGCAGCCGAGGCTGATGTCATGGCACTATTGTGTCCTATTGGGCTCAGTTCAAGGACCATGCAGGTCTTGCAGCAGAAAGCTGTTGTGAAGCTAGCCTCAGCTGGCCCTAAAGGGGACAGCGAGCAACAAGCAGGCCAAGTGAAGTGACATCATATTTCCCAAAGGGTCCTGACAGTTGTTGTGTTTTAAGCGGATGTGTCCAGTCTGACTGGCTGTGAGTCATATCCCACTCAACACTCCTGGCTACACTGTCACTGCACACACCGCACACTGTTACCTGAGAAATCCACTATTATTTTACAGTAAATATGTCCAGCAGTAACGTAGACTGAATTGAAACGAAAAAAGCACAAATTTTGTCTTAAATTTAGTAGTTTTCTAGGTATCTCTTAAAAAGAGATTATGCATGCCAGAAGTTTTGTTTGCGTGTCACACTAATTTTGGTCCATGAACAAAAGGCTGTCTTATTTGTCAGGTCGTCAGAAGGCTTCGAGTGCTTGTACTTTATCCCACGCAGAGGAAACGCAAAATCTATTTTTGACTGAGCATGTGTGAGTAAATCACACTTCAATCTCTCCCTACCACATGAGACTACTGTAGTCTGTCCAGACACTGTAGGCCTATTTTAGGGCTGCAGCACAAAATGGACCTGTCTGGCATTTCAGCGGTAGGCCATAGAATCTAAAATCTTTTGTAAAACTTCACTTCCCTTCCAGCTTAATCTAGCAAGGAGGGGTTTACCCAATCGTACTTCCTCCACACTAGAGTATTGTGACTCACTCAATGCCAAACACACAACCCCGCAGTAATAATGAGAGCTGTTGCATTTCTTCCAAAGTGAAGGTGCTTGTGCAGTAAACCAGTTTCACTGAACCGGGGTAGAATAATTGCACAGGCCTGCATGCAGCAGTACAAGAACAGGAAATAACCAGCCGGGTCCAAACTGTTTCTCGTCATATCCCAGTGGGTGAAATTGTGACCAGGCACACGCAAACAGAGGTCAAGAAAAGTGCTCCGTCTTTCCTGTCGACCTTGCAACAAGAGCGAACACGCTGAACACGAGTGTCCGTGTCAAGAACAGTTGAGTTGTTTTTCCTGTGTTGCTGCTCGTAGGCCTGGTAGCTGTGTCATTCTGGCAGGGACTCTCAGCCCCTTGTGGGAAGTCCCAGAGGCTGCTGGTAAACTGTGTTTATGAATGGACTGCTGTCACTGATTTAACACAGAAAGGTCCCAGAGCTGCACGGTTTACAGCACCATACTCCAGATATTAAAAAAATGTAAACTCAATTTGAGATTAGGGAAAAAAGTGACATAACGGA